GCTGGCACGGCGCGTACCCAGCCTTGTGCTTCGGTACAACCCCAGCGCGGCTTCTTCCTAGCGAGATTTTTAAGGGAAATGTTTGTAATGTGTGACTAATTCACCATAATGGTCTCCACTGTGTCGAGTCAATTCGGTCACTTCAGGGAATGAATCTCTTTTTGCATTGCCTTTCAGGTCAGAGAACGGCTGGCAGCCTGTTAGTTCCTGGAAATAAAACATGGTGTGACATTCCCAAACTGGACTTAATAAATCAGAGTCTCAGAAAACACTTAATGCACACCCCTGACTCCCACATACTTGTATAAAGTGTTACCTGACCTAGACATTTTCAAAAATGACAGCAAGTGCTGCCGAGTACTTGGTGAGGTACCCTAAAGGTAGCCAGGCTGACTATCAAGGTCTGCTTCCTCACTGGGGATTTTTTTTTTCTTTCTTTCAGAGCTTACGAGGAAATGGAGCTTAACTGGCTGCAATACCTTGAACCACGGCTACTCAACCAGAATGAATAACAGTGCAATGGAACAGACATAAGGGTACCAAAAGTATTTTTTAAAGAGTACCTTGTTTCCAAAAGTGACTATGAGCAGATACCAAGAAAATAAGTGAGAATTCCATAAGCTTATAACCATAAAGATGATCAGAGGGATGGAACAGGTATCCTGTGAAGACAAGCTGAGAGAGTTGGGGTTGTTCAGCCTGGAGAAGGCTCCAGGGAGACCTTACAGCACCTTCCAGTACCTAGAGAGGACCTACAAAAAAAGGGGAGAGCAACTCTTTACTTGTACAGATAGTGTAGGACAAGGGGGGAACAGTTTTGAACTCAGAGAGGAGAACTTTAGGTACATGTTAGGAAGAAATTCTTTACTCATAGGGTAGGGAGGTTTTGGAACAGTTTGCTCAGAGAAGCTGTGGATGCCTGATCCCTGTAAGTGTTCAAGGCCAGGTTGGATGGGGCTCTGAGCAACCCGGTCTAAGTGACAGATGTCTCTGCTCAGAGGGGTTGAAACTGGATTATCCTTAAGGTGTCTTCCAACCTTAGCCTTTCTACGAGTCTGTGAATATTTTTCCAGATATTTTTTCCAGCTTCCAACCAGATGGCATCCTCAACTGAGTATCTTGTGATGTGTTTTTTGCCTCACCCCCTGCCCAGGCTTTTGTACCCATCCTCACAGATTGCTGTACCATTAATTCCCCATTCTCTGTGAACCCACATCAATCCCAGGCTTTGCCAAGGAGTACTGCAGGTCTAGTGCCAACTTTAGGAAGCACCCTCTTGGCAGGTGTTGAACTCAAGGCCTGTGAGCTCCAGTTATGGCCACCCTTGCTCTTGTACAAGGAGAGTGAGTGAACTGCCAGTGCCAGCACCTTGTCTGTCCTGCTCCTGACTGTCTTCCACACAATCCTCTACACAGGCTGTTCAGGGAGAGCCTTTTCAGGTCTCTCAGACCACTGTGTTACCTGCTAAGGCACCTTGCTGGTCTTTGGGAGGAAGGCACTACTGAACACTCACAGCTTTTCTGGGCTGGATGCTGCAGGTGTGCCTGTGGTGAGCTGCCTCACAGAAATGTTTGTATTGTTTCCTCTTCTATCTGCCAGGGATGACTTGAATATATTTTTCTCAGAAGTAGTAAGATCATTTAAAATTATTGCTTTTACATAACACTTGATGTCTGTCTACACATTACTTAATTTTAGAGCATATAGGAAAAGGAAATATTTGCCACTGGTAGGGCTTTATATCTGTATAAAGCCCTACCAGTGGCAAATGTTTCCTTTTTCTTTTAATAGGTACTTTCCATAGAATTTGTCATTTAACAATCTTAACATTTTGATCAAATAAGATACCTATTTTATGGGCTTGTTAATTTAAGACTACCTAGGATGAAATACAGGATACCATCCAATAACCTTTGTAAATGTTTGCTTTGTATGTTTCTCAGGAAGCTTCACAAGCCAATTATTTCAGCTTCCATAATGAGCTGGTTTTGATGTCTTGCTGTTCAACATACATCTAGTTAAGACTTGTCATTAACTCTCTTGTCTTCTTTGTTCTGTATGGTTCTAAGCACTTTGACAGAGTTCAAATCAATACTAAGTAACAATGGATGTTTTTTAGGCTTAATTCCAGGTTTAGCTATCATGGATGAAACTGCCAACAGATCAGAAGAATGCAAGAGCCTTTTCTTTCCCATTGGTTTCAGAAGGCTTAGTGTCTGTGCTAGCCAGACTGGCTTTTAGCATTTAGTCCCAAAACTTCTATGTCCTGCTGTAAAATGTTGTTTTCTGATGGTGGGAAAAGCCACAGTTATTAAATGCCTGAAATAAACAGCTAACATCATTCATGCCTGAGATTTAATGCAAAAGAATACACCCAGTGGAATGGTGGAAAGTGTTCTTCAAACACCTAAGTACAAAAAGAACCTAATTTCAAATGAAAGCAAAACTAATCCTGGTGGATAAAAAACATGAAATATTCATGTTAAAAATACCAGCATTCTCAGAATCAATTGGTCTGTGGCTGTAAGAATACCTCCACTTCATGCCACCTGTACCTGTATCCTTACTCCTGCTCTGGGACATGCGTAAGAACACAAAAGCCATCTACCAGAAATGCAGAACAGCAGCAAAAGGCTTTATGCCATCAGGAGACCTTTGCTTCTACCTGGATAGAAGATGCCTTTGGAGTTTGCAGGCAGTTGGAGCCAAGGTACACATGATCAGTGCCAGGCCTGGGCCAGCTGTACTCCTGTTACTTCAGCACTTGCAGAATAGCCAGGAGGAAATGTGATCTGCAGAGCAGTGCAGCTCTTAGTCACAATCCCACTGCAGCAGGTCTGCCTGAGCTTCAGGTAAACTCTTGTTTCAAGGGGACACACGTGTATTTAATGTTGTCAGCTCATGTTCTCATGTTTTTCTTAAGAGTCATCAAGGCTAAAACTTCCTTTAAATTAAAAGCTGAAACTCAAAGGTAAAGGGATGACTCCTGAACACCTTAGAAGGGATCTCTATGTTTTCTGTTCCTTTATCTGAGTGTGTAAGAAGGCAATGTTTCCCCTCCATCCTTGATCAAGAAGGAAGTCTGTTAGAAGCACAGCTGTGTGTGCTGTCCACCAGCAGTGCTGGCAACATTTCTGTGGTAAGCAGGGAGGATCTTTGGGGATTTTGGCTCACGTGGCTTCTGTATTTTCCAGCTTCCAGTCCTAGTAATACCTATAAGATTTTCCCTCAGAGGTAAGATCCCAGAGCACGTTTTGCATCGTACATGAATAAAGCTAAAAAACAATTATCCATTTCCATGTATTATTAAGAGATACGTGCTTTGTAATTTGTTACAGTTTCCACCCTATTGCTAAAGGTGCTGTATTTTATCTTCTAAAAATTCAGCCACACCATCTTAGAATTGTTGACAGAGGAAAAAGGTTGCATTTGCTGTGTTAGCAAGAGCATGTTTCCAGTATCTGTGGCCCTTCTCATCAAGTTCTAGTTCAGAAACCTGGCAAGGAAGCCAAATCTGAGAAAATACAGGGGCAAAGGTTATAAAGACAGATTACAAACCAAAAGCAAAGACGAGCTAAATCCACTGCAGTGGACTGAATTTCTGCTGGTGCTCTGCAGTAATCTGTAATTATAGACACATTTTAACTTAACTTTTATAGTCTTATTATTTTTAGAAAATCTAGGTGCTTATTGGTTTGTTTCAGAATCTTGTTGGATTTTTTAAAGGAGACTAAAAATTGCCTCAATCTTATTACAAAGGCTTGGCTCAGAAATATTGTAAATGTTGAGTGGCCATTCCACCAAATATTCACAAGGTAAAGAGTATGCTTTATAAAAGAGAAATCATCTTGAGAATTTATTTGAAAAGAGTAGTTCTGGGGACAGGGAGTAACACTGCAAAAGAAAATTCATTGCTGGTGGACATATATAACCAATTAAAGTTTCTTGCTCTTACCAGAAGTCTATTAGCTCATAGCACAACCCACTGCTGTTCAGAAAACCTACCCACCAACTGCTCTGACATACATTGCCTGTTTTTCATTGCAAGTGTTTGGGTCCTGCACCACAGCTGACCACAAGTCTGAGGGTTGGTAAGAATTCAGTCAGGGTTCAGATTGGTTCTTTGTCAGTGGTTTCCAACTGCTGAGGTGTATCTCTCTTGAATTCACTAAAGGAATGTGAATTCCATGGAGTATGTTGCCCTTGATCTGTGTTCATTCCATTGACATCTGAGACAACTCAGATGTATTTGCTTTGGCCTTCTACTGCAATGCACATTTACTTGTTCCAGTCAAATTTTTTTGCTGACCTTTAATGTCAGTGTAATGCTGTTTAAGCTCACTATGCTTTAGAAGTGCAGCAAGTGCAAGAAAAAGGAGGCAGTAGCCAGGAAACAGGTGTGAGAAGAGGCAGTGAGTGCAACTGCCTTGGGGCAAGCAGAGGAGGAGATGTGAAATATCTGATTAAAAAGGGAGAAGTTTAGAACAGCAGGCCAATGTTAGGTGGGCATTTGGAAAGTTCATTAAGTTC